CAGGAATGCAACAATGTCTCCTGTGACTTCTGTGATTGATGTGTTCAGTTCGGAGCTCTTTGCAAGAGAGTAACACAGCTCTGGGTTTTGTCGTGAATAGTTTAAACCTTTATTTGCATAATTCATGAAATTGCATTACATACGACTTCGTGTGAAAGGGATCCCGTTAGAGAACTTCTGCAGCATTTAATAATCTTGTGAATATTTACCGATTGGCGTTTTGTACTGTTGGCTCTCCTCTGCAGTTTTAATGAGCCGCTGGCTTTGCTTTGTTTCATTCCCTCCGTAAGGATTTGTTGACATGTCGTAGTAGTCATGCCTGTTTGGGGGAAGGGAATGAGTTTAGCAGTTTACCAAGAATGGATCAGTCATGTCTTTGCCCTCCAAGAGGTCGGAGGTCGCTTGACTCAGAATAGGGGGAGGGCAACCTTGAAGGGGGCAGATAGGGTTATTTTATTGAGAGGCCATAGGGAAAATAACCCTTTTGAGTCCTTCCAAGCAAAACGTTTTCGTATATTTAATGAGGCCTTTTTTGTTTGTTTTACTACATTTTTAGCAAGGGGCTTTCCTATGCTTCTGCTTATAAATAGGAATTAGTGAATTACACGCTTTCATAAAGTTTTCAGTAAATTTGCAGAATAACGTGGGCTTGTTAGATGGCAGCGGTAAGTTTAATATGTTATATATTTTATGAGTTGTTTTGGGATGCAAAGTGTTAAAAAAATACAGAGCATCAGGATTTGCTGTGATAAGCATACAGATTAGCTGTCCACAGCTGTGATTCATTACTTTCACCGTAGAAATTAAAAGTGGCTGAGGGGAGGGTACTGCAAATGCAAACCACGCTTCTGTGCTGTAAAACTGAAAGGAATGAAAGAAGTGAACATAATCCATGGCCTGGTACAGCCTCAGAAATGTGTAAGGACAACACCTTACATGCTACAGTTCAGCAATCTTAAACTAGTTAACGTATTCACTCTTCAGCAGTAACTACAGATAGAGGTTGAGATTTAACGTATTTTAAAAATATCTACATCAGCTTTAAAACTCTTATCTAAGAAGAGTCGATTTATCAGCTGTGAAATATTTACACTGCAGATCAAGATCTTGGAGATAATAGCCGCAGCCTTGTTGGCAGAGGAGGTTCACCCAGAGGAAGTCTCTCACCACGGTAAGCATTATTTACATTGGAGAGTGCAGGCAGAGGAAATGTTTTAAGATTTGGAAAGTTCACTGTCTTTTTACTAGTAACACATAAATGTTTTACAAGTCTCTTTCTCTCTCTGTGTGTGTGTATATATATACACATGTATACATATGTTTATTTTTATATAGATATATCCGTCTAAAAAAAGCCCCTAATATGTCCAGATAGCTAAAAATGTGCTGAGATTCACTTTTATATTCACTTTTATATTCACTTGAAATTACGTTTGCAAATGAAGGACTTTACTTAAGAAATGGAGGCTTGCTTTAGAGGGATTTATCTATCATTTAATCTACATGTACTACTTACCTCCTCAGATTTGTTACCATAGACATATTTTTAGTCATATTTGCAAAAATTCCCAAATCCCATAGACTTAAAGACTACAATGATCACAGGAATAAGATGGTCTGAGAAATTAAATATCAGTCAAAAATTTTGAACAAGTATTTTCTTCCCTTTCCCTCACCACTTCAAAATATGCAACAATACCTGTGGGGGAAAAAAAAAAGTACTTTATTTGTTCTCCTGCAATTCACCTCTACTACATAAGTTTGCCATAAGAATTTTGCTGGAATTGTATCACATTATTTTGTTTTAAAATACTTGCTGTTAAAATTTCAATATTGTGTTGTGAATACTTAAGTAATATTTCCCGTGTATTTTAAGTGAATCTTTGTTTTTAAAGGGCTTTATTTTCCATACTGAATCCCATATGAATTAGATTTTATAAGGTTATTACTGTATTTTTTTTTTTTCTTAGGGACTAACCATGGGGATTTTATCTTGAAAAGGATTTTAGGATAGCTAAAATAGTCGTTACACAGATACAGCATTGTAACAATGAATTTGATTGTTACAGCATGTGTTTATTCCAGTAATTTAGAAAAAATATCTCCAAATTAGGTAATTTAATGTACATGTCTGGTGTTGTTGATCTTGTATTATATTCCTTAATTAATCAAAAGACTTCTTGTCGAATGGGCTGAGACTATCCATTAAAATACTTAGGTGTTATTACCTAGTCATGAACAGGCTTTTAAGCTTTCCAATATGTGTTGCTTCTAAAACAATAAATAGAGAATTTACAAATTAGTTTAGACTGTGTTCTCAGTATAAATAGGTATATTTACATTAGCATATAAATCTTTATACACATAAGCAACATGTCTGTATATATACAGACAAGTAAGTTAATTTTCCAAAGGGAAATGGTCAACAACTAGGAAATTCCAGAACTTTTGATTATATATTAAGTAGTCTCCTTATGCATATGTGTTGTGGTAATTGCAGGTTTTAATGCCTTCTTAGTTAGTATGCAAAGGCCTGGTCTTTGTACGATTTGCAGTAGGCCATAGTTGTGTTCAGGCTGTTTTTAGGTAGAATATTTGGGAAGCTAAACGTCTTACATGTGATGCTTCTACGGAGTGTATGTTCAGGGTATATACAGTCCAGCACTTACAACATGGTCAAATTTCAGCTGTTTTTGGTGGGGATGGCAAAGGAGAACTGCATGATACAAAGGCCACCTCAGTCCACAGTTGCGGAGCTTCCTTCAGAGTATGGAAGCTGTATCACTTTGCAAAGAGCAGATAGCTTTTGCTTGGCAGTAGAGTTGTTCAAAAACAAGCCAGAAAAGGTGTGGGGGGGGGTGGGGGAGTGGGTGTCAGTGGAGAAATCACTGCTGTAGTTCCAAAATTGAAAGGTGGAAAAACTTAGGGTGAAGTACCTAGCATGGAAAAAATATAGAAAACTTACCCATTCAATTAAGTTCAGTAGTCAGCAAATTTCACCCCTGGTTTGTGTGATAAGAAAGATCATGCGTATGTCGACGTTTCTAAAATTTGTAGGTAACATCCCACCTTCCCCAGTTAAATAAGTAAGTAACTCTGATTACTTAAAATATGCTTTACAGAGAATAAAAAGCTAACTTCAAAAATCTGCTATCTGAAAACTTTGCAACTCTGAATGTTACCTGCTTTATCTATTAAAATTATTTTTCTGCAAGTTCTGACTCTCTTCCCTTTGAAGCTTATGAGATTCATAAATAACACACTTCTCCGAAAGAGCCGTGTAATTTTCAGATAGTTGCTTAAAATAAAAACACTTGCAGAAACAATTGTTTGCTGTTGATTGCTCTTTGGAGAAGATGTATGTGACTCATGAGCTGTATGGTCATTTCAAATTCATATTGTTATATCTTTGTACCCTTATATAACTGCAGTGTTCGATGTTTAAGCTGTCATATTTAAAGTTTTAATATATATGAGGAATATAAATATACCTGGTATATGTGAGGTGTTTCCATTTTGCAAAGGAATTGCTGCTTTTCCCAAGGTAGCATTCAAACTTTTTTTTACCCATACTTAACCTTAGATTTAAAAATATGTTATGTAATACCTGCATTGAAGTATGTATGTATGCCTATATCTAAATTCAGTATTGCTTACAATTAATACTATACGAGTATGAATAACTGTACCCCAAACTCAAACAAAAAACAGTTGTGCAAGTAAGCAAGGTACAAAACATGAAACAAGGGATTCGCATCTCGGTGACAGCACTGGACCTGCGCATACAGCACATTTATAATCCTATCGGGAACTGTGGTCAAGTACTATTTGGAATAAGGATTCAACCCTAGTATGCAGGAACCGTATCATGTCTAATGGTTGCGGTAGGGGTTCAGCTGGAAGAGGATGGATTGACTAATGTTGTGATACATGGAAATCTGGATTTTTTGGGCTTTTTTTTTTTTTTTCTTCCTTCTGTACAGGCTTCCAGTGAGGGATTGCAGAGGTTATACAGTCTTGTGTTGCTTTGCTTCTACCTTTGTGAAATTGATAGGAAACAGTCCTAAGCCCAACAAGATTTTTGTTGGTGATTTATAATTCAAATGGCACGTTCTGTTAGAGTAGTGTTATGCGCCCTTCAAAAGCATGCATACAGAGAAAGAAGTTGCTGGAGGGGTTGTGTGGTGGTTTTCTCTATTTGTTTTCTGTTGGTGTTGTGTGGGGTTTTTTTGTTTGGTTGTTTTTTGGGGTTTTTTTAAGTGCCTTGTTTGTGTGGAGTGTAGTACATCTGTTCAGAATGTTTCCGCGTAAACCTTCCTTCTTATCACTTCAGCACATCGTGTAAACAACTAGTTTTAAGGCTGTTTTTGCCATGTCTGTGCTGAACTGTTAAATGCTGTTGAGTTGTGATCTCTTGTCAAAAAACCACTACCTTGGCTACCCATTCATCAGGGCTTTTTGTTTTAACAAGTGTGTTTTTCTTCTTTCATCCTGTATGCAAAAGAGGAATTATTTATAAATACTTACAGAGCTCTTAAGTCACCTACTTAAAACCTTTTCTCGTAAAAATCACTTTGCTCTGGTGCCCACAAAATGCTTGACAGTCATTAGGTAGGTAATGTGCTGTGACCACTGCTTATTACGCTAATCATAATTAACACACTGATTTCCTGAGCCCTATATGTTGTCCTGTGCTGGGACTATGGTGGTCTTGTCAGTAAGCTTGCACTACATATAGAACAGTATGGCTGTGACCCTGTGATGGCACCAATAGTTATTACTCACAGTAATAACTAATATATTAACTTACAGGAATAACTAATATATGGGAATCTGAGCTCACTGGAGTTGATTTAAAAAAACCCAACAAAACAAACAAACAAAACCACCAACCAACTTTTAGTGGGCTGTGGTGTTGGTGCTGTATGAGGAACGGGGCCATGCATACATGAGGCCAGAATCTGGAGTCAGAAATACACTGAGCGTCTGGTTTTGCTCACAGGTTAAATTTTGCCCCATCCAATGCAAAAGAAGCCTTCTCACAGGACCTGAGGGCTACCCAGCTTTCTTAGTGGCTGTGAGCTGAATATTTGATTTTCTTGTGAATGAGAAAAGGCAGGTAGCAAAGGGATTATTCTTCGAACTGTGTGTGATCATGAGTAAAAAAAGGAAGTATATTAAGTGTACACAGGACAGGCAGAGGGTGCAGAGGGTAACTCCAATTTTCATTGCGTCCCTTGTTAAATTTTTCATGTAGTCCCTCAAAAATCTGGTTTTACATGATTCTTTTTAGAACAAGTTAGGCAGTGGAATTATATATGGCCTTTCTACATGGAAGCACCATTACTGTGCTGATTTTAATACACTGTTTTTATTTTCCCAGTTTGCTCTGGGAGAGGTTTGAAGGGTTGGTTTGGTCTGGGGTTTTTTTGTTTGTTTGTTTGGGGTGGTTTTGGTTTTGTGTGTTTTGTTTTTTGTTTGTTTTTTTTTTTTAAAGGTGCTCTATGTATCCATATACAATGGCTTCCTGCTGTAGAAGTATGTGTTGTATAATTTAAATCAATGCTGTTTGTCAGTTAGGTATTATGCTAGTCTGTATGCAAGAAGAGGTTATGTGCTTTCTCAGTGTAAATTGTCACACTGTGAAATGTTACATCTTTCTTTTAATAAAGCCTTGACAGTGAGAACCAGGAGTTCTTAGTGATTTTGAGGAATTAACTTAAAAGATACATAGGTGCTCAGGGCTGATACAAGGTAAGAAACTTCAACAGCCTTTTACTAATACTTTTCCTTCCATCCCTTTCTTTAAACAATAAATTGCAATATTTTCAACAGATCCCCTGTAAGCAGCTTGCAGATTCGCTATGATCAATCAGGGAACAGTTGTGGGGAAAACTTGCCCCCAGTAGCAGCCAGCATAGAACAGCTTCTGGAGAGGCAATGGAGTGAAGGACAGCAGTTTTTATTAGAGCAAGGCACCCCTAGTGACAGTAAGTACTCACATTCTGTTTATTACTGGTTTTGTTAACTGTGTTATACCGAACTGCCATTCAGGGCTTGTCCAAGAATTTTAAAAAAAATATATTTTCTGCTGAGACTAGAAATATAACTGCAGTGTATAACTGTAACATAGTACTTCATACAGCACGTGACTTGAGTAGGTTACAGAAGAGTTCTCTATCTACATTTTTATGGATGGGGAAATTGTGTCATGCAAGAGGAAGTGACTTGCAGATCCAGCGGATTGTTTGCAGAGTTTGGAAATGAATTCTGGACTCTTAGATCCACTACTGTAAATAGTATAGCACAGTTTCCCAGTTTGCATTATACTGTGTGATAGAAATTGGCATAATAATTTTAATTGTTGCATTTTTCATTTTTTAATTCTAAACTGTCTACTTCTGTTGCTGTTTTTAAAAAAATATTTACAAATGTTAGGCAGGTGTCTTACTGGGCTTTCTTACCTTTATTATGTTCTGCGTTTCTCGTGAAATTCTCAAAACAAGCAAATCATTATTTTCTCGAGTTGTGTTTACTAGAGTGGAATAGTCCCAGAATGAATATGTTAAAAGCATAAGTGATGAGCAGATCACTTGGATCTCCATATTCAACAATATATCAGTATCAAAGACTATGATTAAATAAATTTTAAAAAATTCTTCTAATACCAGGTTAGGGTTTGTGTTACATTTTATCAAACATATTATTCTTCTCATTGGTAGTGTAAAGTGGTATCTAGTTGGTATTTTTATGAATGGTATTCTGACAAAAATGCTAATTGTGAGGAAATTCATGCAGGGATAATCCTTTAAACATGATAGCTGGAGGACAGGTTTAGCTAAGTCTTATTGCATCTCATTTGGGCTCACTGAGGGTTCCTTTGTATGTTCTTGAAGAGGAGGGATAAAAGCTAAATCCTTGGGAAATGACCAGATGTGCCTATACCAGTAGACTTATGTCTGTAGTAGGCCCAGAGGTCATGTTAAACAAATACAATTTAGAATTTTAAAAAAAAATGGCTATCCCTGTGGCTTTACAGTCACACTCTAGTACTAGTTGGGAAATCCAAGTTCTGAAACCAAATGGGAGTTTGAGAAAACTGTGCTGGGTGAAAATCAGGTTAGTACAGAAGATGATGCCCTTTTTCTGCAAAAAAAGGGGTGGTAACTGCAGTGCTCACACAGTGCTCCCTGCTGGGTGATTTGTAGATCGCCGCTCAAAGCAAATGAGAGCTCCTGCTCACAAGGTGTGTCATGGTAACTTCACGTTGGATGACATTCTTTTCGTTGTTTCTGTAAGTTTGTGATTCACTGTACAGGGCATTAAAGCAGAAAAACTCCCTTTTCACCAACTTGCTTCTTTTTACATAAATGTTGTTGGTTAGCTGCATTGTTAGGTGAATGCATATTTGTCAAACATTTTCTGTTTTGATAATTTTAAAATTTCTAATACTGCAGATGAAATAGATTTTTCCCAACTATGCAATTAACCTGTGCTACTAAAATAATACTATTTTTATATTCTGGTTTGGGGATATGTTATCATGTAGTGCTGTTTGCTTAAAATGAATGTCAGCCCTAATGACACGACTTCATCTCTGTTTAAGCCAGGGTGTAGATATATTGCAAAATTACTATCACATGCTACATACTTTTTTCTGCACTTCAAATTACACAAAATTGATCCTAAACTTTTCCACTTAAAGTAAAATTTCTGTAATCTCTCAGTAATAATTTTATTTATATTTTCACATATGACTTAATGCTAGTCTTAAATTGTCATACAGAAATTTAAAATAATGAAGATGTTATTCATTCTTCGAATGTGGTTGTGAAAGATAACATAAGCATTTTTACCTTAGTTTTAGGAATGCTTAAATCGTTACACCAACTTCAGGTTGAAAATAGGCGGTTAGAAGAGCAGATAAAGAATCTGACTGCTAAGAAGGAGCGGCTTCAGCTACTCAATGCACAGCTTTCAGTGCCCTTTCCAACAATAACTTCAAATCCTAGCCCTTCTCATCAAGTACATGCCTTTCCAGTACAAGCAGGTAAGTAGAGGAGAGTATTAAAGCGTGAAAGTAATTTGAACATGAATTTATATGGAAAATCTATTTCATCCATGTATGCCATTGATGGGAGATGCATATACATGTAGGATGAATATAGGCTAAGTATTTGTGTTTAAATGCTTAAAAGTCAATTGGAAGATTTATGTGAACCATTACTACTTGTTTCAGTGCAGCTTCTTTTTTACTTCAGTCTGGAGCACATCTGTTTGAATCTATTGATTGACTAATTATTTAGTTAATATTTTACTCCTCAGCAATGATTTTAAGGCTGACTTTACATTTTCTATGTTTAGCTTTGACATTATTTTGAAATAATTATTCTGAATCTTTTTTTCACATGTTACAGAAATTTAACCACTGTGTGTTTTTTGAAATAATTACTTTAGCACCTAGCACCGATTCCCTGAACAGCAGTAAAAGCCCTCATCTGGGAAACAGTTTTTTACCAGACAATTCTCTTCCTGTATTAAATCAGGTAATTTTTATTTGTTTCTTCTAAACTTAAACTTGCTACAAGTTAACTCATCATAGTCCTTGCATTGTGCTGTTAGGTGAAATTTTATGCAGCTGAGGGGGTTTTGTTGTTTGTTTTTACACCAGGAGATAACCTCCAGCGGACAAAGCACCAGCAGTTCATCAGCTCTTTCCACTCCACCACCTGCTGGGCAGAGTCCAGCTCAGCAAGGCTCAGGAGTCACCGGAGTTCAACAGGTCAATGGTGTGACAGTGGGGGCACTAGCTAGTGGTATGCAGACTGTAACCTCCACCATTCCTGCAGTGCCTGGTGTGGGTGGAATAATTGGAGCACTGCCAGCCAGCCAGCTGGCAATCAATGGAATTGTAGGGGCTTTAAATGGGGTAATTCAGACCCCAGCAACAATATCACAGAACCCTTCTCCTCTCACTCATGCAACTGTGCCACCCAATGCAACGCATCCTCTGCCAACCACGTTAAATAACAGGTAAGAATTTGCTGATTTTTGTTTTTCCTGAGAGTGTCTGCTGTTCTTCCGTTTAGCTATATTTTTTTAACTGTCTTATTCAAAAGGTACTGTTTCTTCCTTAGCCTGTAATTGTCAAACTAGGTTCTGCTCCTGACCTGTGAATGAAAGTAAGAAGGCATTGAATGGAAGCACGGATAGTCAAGTTAAAGAAAAGATGTTTTCTGTTTAGCTTTTGGGAATCCTAGTGTCCATTTATTCCTGCTTTTTAATCAAGTCACATTCCCAAACAAATGTAATTATGTAAATGTGCTTCAGCTCTTTTTTTTTTTTTTTTTTTTAGTTCAGAAAACAATATTCTTTGTCCTGCCAATTGTTCTTCCATGATTAAAGTAGCTCTGGAAAAGCTACCATTTGTTGCACTAAGAAGGGAGGAGGGGGAGGAGAACAGTATACAGTCATGTAATTAAAGATGTAATAGGCATAACTAACCAGAGTAGTGATACAGTTGCACGGCGTCTTCAGTTCTCTGCATCTGTGACTCCAAAGACAACAAAATTATTTTTTTTCAAGTGGTGTTCCTAAGGATTTTTAAATGCATAGAAAGATCCACTTTTGAGTATTCGTAACAGACCCTCCCCAAAACCCAGGTATCCTCAGTAGCATGAACTGCTGCTGCTTGAGCTGCAAGGCAAATGGGTAACAAAAGGAGACAGCTGCTTTCCAGGAAGGGGCATGGACTGCTTGGTCTGGAAGTATTTTGGGATAGAGCAGAGCCTGGGCTAACTCATTCTCCCCGCTCCCCTTCCCCCCACCCCTTGTATTGTCCTTCGCTGAGGAAGGAGAGCTATGGTTCTGTGTAGAAAGAAATGCCGCAAATTAGGGAGTGGATTACTTGTCTTTAAGTAGAGTTTATTTTTGGAGATTATGGTGGATTACCCACCAAAAAAGGCGCATGTGATTGGAATGATGCAAGGGATCCCTGGTTTTGTAGCTGCTTTTTCCAGTTTCTTTCCTCGCTGTTCGTTTGGCAGCTCCTGAATGCTTGCGTACAGTATCATTGTGTGGTGGTAGTGCTTCAATAGGCTCATAAAACCTGATACTTCCAAGTGTATCCTGTTGTTTTGATGTGCTATCATATTTTTACTGAGGAGGTTCTATTTTTCATAGTTTATACCATATATGAATATAACGTTTCATATGTTAAACAAAAGACAGTTCATTAATGAAAAGTTATGTTCTTGATTGAGTATCAGAGGTCTGCTGAAAACACAGGAATTTTGCATTACTCCCCCTGTAAGTGTGAGGAGGAGTGAGAAATACCAGACAAAATCAATAAAATTAACCAGTTGTATAATGCTTTCCACTTTCAGGTAATGCCAAAATATACCAGTCATGCTGCTGTTTTCTCATATGTTCCTGTTAATACACAGACTATTTATTTCTGACTCTGTATATCGCAGATACTTTTGTATCTTTTTTTTTTTTAAAGTATATCCAACTTCACCGCTCTTGAGCGTGTAGCCTAGTAGTAGACTACTCCAGTTCAAACAGAATACTGCATGTAGTATCCTGTTCATTAGCTCTCATTCTAACTTTTAGCATAGTCTGGAATACTCCAATGATTCCCTATTTTCTGCTACAACAAGCTTATGATGTGCAACTTTGTCAGCATTTCCATTTTTCTATTTCTGTTCTTGTGTGATCTCTTTCTGCACTGCTCCCTCAATAATACTAATTTAAAGTTAATATTAATTTTAAATTTAAAATTAATGTTTATTTTAAATTTAAAAGTGCACTTTCCACACAATTCTCTGCTTTATTGAGCTCATCCAGGTGATTTGCTGGGCCCCCTTCCTTTTGAGGTGTTTTACAATTGCCCCCATTTTCTGTGAGTATTTCTAGTTTTATATTTAGAGGAAAAAAGTTCAGGCCGAGCAACCATTAGTGCTAATATGATTTTAGCAATGACACGTACATTCCGCATTCCTGTTTCTTCCATTACAAATGCTTCGGTGAAATATATGAAAAAACTTTTCTGTTACTGGAACTAAGTTGTGAAGAGGCTCTGGGATGACTTTGAATGAAGGGGGAAAAAAACCCAGAAAAAATATAAAAGTATTTTCTACTGGTTGAGATTATTGGTTCTGAAACTACATGGAAACTGTTTGTTCCTGCCACTCTTGAGTTCAGTGCTGTTTCAGTGGCAACTAGTTGACTATTTCTTTAATGTCAAATTCCTCTAGGCATCATTACTCTTTGAACTGCGTAAGTGGGAGGGTTAAATGGTAACAAGCACAGGCAGGCACAGAGGTTTGCTACCATGCTATTGTGAGCTCTCCGAACCTGGTTAGATTGCATGGTGGTGATCAAGTTTGGAGCTGGCTTCAATCAGTATTCCCAAGGTGATGGAAAGTCACATGAGAACTCAGCCCTACTTTCTAACTTTCTTGTATTTTTCTAGAATTAAAAGACTCCTCAGATGTTCCTGTAAGTTCCTACTTCCAGTAACTTCCCGAGCTTCAGAATCTGTTTGGACAGGTTCATGTGAAACATAGCTGGATTATTCACCAATATGTGAAGTTATGCATATTGTCCTTATTCACATGAAGCTCTTTAACTGTGGGACATAGGGAGTTGAGAAAACACTGATCTGCACACTGCTGTTTGAGGGAGTTTCAAATTGTAGGTAAAAAGCCTACATTCATTTGGCAGAGAAAAATACTCGATCCTTTTCTGGGAAAAAGATGGCTTAATACAGATTGCTAGCAATCAGGAGATCAAGTGATTTGAGGAAGAAGATAGGATTGTTTCTTTACATTCTCACAACCAGAGAAGACTGATGATATACCTTTTAATGAGAAGCTAAAAAGGATTAAATTTACATTCCAAGCTTATTTAGTTTAGAGAAAGCTCTGTGGTGAAATCCAGTGAACTGCCTCTTCTGGGAAGCCCGGGAGCTGCAGCGTTTTGGCTTCTGCAGTTAGGTTTTGTTTCTAGACACTTACATCTCAGCTGCTGGCTGAGGGTATTTTCTTACAAGTGCCAATGTAGAGCAAGAGAGGAAGACAGAGTGGATAGAGAGAAGGGAGAACAGCAGCAGAATGAAGAAGTGCAAAGGTAAAACAAGATACAGGAAAAAAGAAAGAATAGGATAAAGGAATGAAAAAACAGTGGAGAAGATTCATTCCAGTATAGAAGAATACAGAAAAGAGAAGAAGGAAAAAAATGGTAGTATTAGTCAAACCAAAGGTACTTATTTTTTGCAGTTGTTACAAATACTTTTGATATAATTGAATTTAAAGCTGTTTGAAGGAATTTCAATTAATCGATGACTGTCACTGTTTGAAAGTCAAACATAAGCCAAGTTCTAGCTTATGTTAGGCCTGAGTCTTCCTGTTGTAGCTCAGGAGGAAAATCTAGGAGTTTCCTTGGATAGGTGAACTGTCATCTCTGCTTTCATCAACAGTGAAACAAACATTGGTAGCAGATGGTGGGGAATAAATAGAATGGTGTTACCCATTTTTTTGTTCTGTCACATTAAATCCCTGGTGTGTGTACACCTGGAATATTATGTGCAGTTCTGATTATGCAGTTTCAGAAAAGTATATAACACAAGGAAAAAAAGGGCACAGCAAGAATAAGCAGAGGCAAAATGGTTTGCACAGGACAAGGTCAGTAGAATTGACTTCCTGGCTAGGGAAAAAGACTATTGACCGGAGGTTTGAGAACCAGGAGAGTGGTAGCAATGATAGTAATGGATGTTGTGAAGTAGATGATGGGCAATAGTAAGTGCAGCCCAGCACATGTTTCCCCATAGCACTGAGGCCATCCGATGAAGTATGAAACAAAGTTCATGTGGTGCTTGCCCTGTCCCAGCGGTAGAGAATGGTGATGCTGTGGGTATTTTCATATTGGCTGGTTAATACAAAGTAAATGTCAAAGTCATCAGAGTCACAGTAGCAGCATGCTAGCTACTGTAGAAAGGCAAGACAAATATTGTGTCCTGAAGAGCTAAATGGTTGTAGCCTAGCTGTGTGGATTTGTGTCTGATTTAAGTTAATTTAATTCCTTACGACCAATCACAACCAGCAATCCTGTCGTCCTGGTGGTATCCTACACACACCTTCTTGCTGGTGCTAGTGCTTGTGCATTCACACAATAACCGCATCTACATGAATGGATAATCTTTCCCTGTGTCTTGTATTGGCTTAGGTTTCAGCTCCATTCCCATGAGATGCAGCTCATTGTGCAAGAGCTAGCGCAAGGGGAGGGGACAATAACTGCTGAAAGGGAGATACTTAACCTTTCAATAGCAGGCTAAACCTGTTGCGAAGCTACACCTTAATAATTCAGTGGGTGTTTTAAACTAGTAAAAGCTAACACTGGTACCGGAAGAGTAAATCCAGCTGTCTTCCTGGTCTTCTGTTTCAAAACCACCCTTGTTCATGCTGTTGGTCTTGCAGTGAACTGGTATAGCTGAAGAAACCCTTTATTTTCAGACTAGTAATCAGCTGGATCAGTTCCCTGCCCAATTTCCTAAATAGCTGCAGAAAATGTTATGTAGAAATGAAAACAGGGACTGGGAGCTAAGCAGTAGACAAGTGTGGAGGCAGCCTGCTTCATTCCACGGCAACATCAGTTGGCCCACTTCAAGGCTGAACGTGTTTGCTAAATTACAAAGTATAGGCAATAGTGATAGATTTGAGTATAGCAGAAGATGAGAATTAGAAGGAAGCCAAGGCAAAGTAAGTGCCAGTTAACTAAGTACTAAAGGTTGGCAAGATAGGGTTTATAATACAAAATCTGGCTTTTCTCTATAAAATATTCAAAAAAATGTAGAAATGGTAATTATTATCTGAGTTTAAAACAATGTGCATGTAGTAGACTTACAGACAAGATGTTGCTGTTGCTCAGCATAAATGAGACTGGGGGTGGTGGTGGTAATGTCTAGGTATGTATCAAAAAATGCAACTGGATAGACTATTTAATATTTGACAGTATGCAATCAAAATGCTAAATAGGAACTTATATTTATGTACCTCTTTTCTTTGTTTCAATGGAAAGATTAAGTAAAAAGTTCCCATGCTTTCATATAAGCTACAGTATTATCCTGTCAAACCCTACAGTGCCTCGGGACTAGGATTACTTCCTGACCAACAGAGACAACTTCTACTCCATCAACAGCACCAGCAATTTCAGCAATTACTAAGTACCCAGCAACTCACATCAGTAAGTTTTCCAGTTAATTATGATTTAGTCTTCTATTGTATTCGAAGGCATGGATAAACTCCTCAGCCTAATATAAATACTATAAATGCATTTAACTTGATATTACAGGTTTTGATAATCTTTTTCATTTTTCCGTTGCTTCAACCTTTTTGTAATTTAGCATGACTGTCATCCAGGATATTATTGGGCTGTGGGTATTGCTGGAAGAATTGTTCCCTAGTGCCTTCAGCCCCATTTTGTCCTGTGTGGACGCAGTGGCTTATCTCTCTCAGCGTCAGCTGTGGGCAGCAGAGTTTGGGACCATGTGTGGTTTCTAACAATATTCTAAGCTATTCTCTGATTCCACTAGGACTCTAGCAAAAGATTTTTGGGTCATTTCATGAGCTGTATTTGCTCTGCCTTGCAGTATTCATATAGGCCATTAGGTAACCGGTTTAACTATTTGTATTGTTAATTGTGTAGTTTTAGTACTTTGACAAACATGGTTTGATATTCTTCTCAGGTATGTTTCTTCTGATAGAGGCCTGACGAAGCCAGCAGGCTTAGCTGAACTTTTGCTGAGCTACTGATTTCAGGAAATTTTATAGGCACTCTCTTCCCTTTCCCACAGTCTCGTGGAACTTCATTAGCGTAACCTAAATTAGCTGGGATTAGGTTAAGGGTGAAAACTGACTTAAAATTTGGATAAGCAAGAACCCAGGGAGGAGCTATTTTTCAGTAACTAATTCTTGGTTTGTGGTTTTGTTTTTGTTTTTTTTTTTTCCTCCCCCCTCTCCTCATATTACTCAAGGAACAACATCAGGCCCTTTTGTATCAATTAGTACAGCAACAACATCACCACCACCAACACCATCAGTCTGAAGTACAGCAATTGCAGATAACTGGAGGAGCACAGATACCCATAAACAACTTACTTTCAGGCACACAGGCCTCGCCACTTAATGCAGCTACTACCAACCCATTCCTTACACTTCATGGAGATAATGCAGCTCAGAAGGTGACAGTAAGTATATTTCTCACCTCATTTTCAGTGTAGTACCTCCATGAGGTAACTAAAAGATAAGCAGCAAGTTATGTGCCTGTATTCACAACTCGAGGATGGTGGATTTTTTTTTTTTTTCTTATTTTTTCTTGAGCCTTGGGCTGTGCTTAATGAGGTTCAGAACTCTGAACTTGTAGTCACTTACACCTAACCTGTCTGCTGCACACTCCTGCTTCCCAGGACACCAATCCAGCAACCCTTGCCTTCTCGTAATTACAACTGCAGCCCTAGTCCTCCTCACCTCACCTTCTCCGACTTTGTGTCCACTAATTTGTAGAGCGTTCCTTTTATCACCTTACTTAAAGAGTTTGTCCTGGCCAGGCCTCGGGCACTGTGGAGCTGTATAGATTAGTTGATGACCTGAGAGATGAGGAGCCCATTGCTGGGAAGGTGAAATATGTGTTGGGAGAACGGGCTATGTGTATCTTGGTTGTGGCGTGGGAAGGTGAGGCTCTACACTGGGAGGCTGAGCGACTCCTTTGCTTGATAGAGTAGTAAAACCTTGCCTAGACAGATAAGGAAACAAGACACAATTTTTCTGGCAAAGACATTTCGTTGTCTTCAGCACCAGTAACCTCCATCCCCAAGACAGGAATTCTTTCTTCAACGAGTCAGAGAATAGACTTCATTCTCTAAGGGCCATAGTTACGGTAAGAGAGGATGAAGGGAAGGAGCATGTGGAACTTGTAAAAACAAAGGATGAGTAGAGCAGGAAGACAAAGTTCCAGTATTCCTTGGAGAAGACATCAAGTGGCAGTGGTAGTGAAAACAGGGAAGCTTGTCTGCAACAGCAGGCAGGAAGAGTTTGGGGCTAGATATTGGTCCCCGCTCTGCTCCCCACCCCTAAAGCCTCTAGCTGCTTCAGGAGCGCAGTGCTGGAGAAGGACTTGGGCAGCTGGGCTTTTGTGGTACTTCCCAAACATAAGGCGAGACACAAAACGTAAATGATGAATTTTCAAGACAGTTTTCCTGGAAACAGCTCCCTTCCATTCAAAAATACGAGCATTTACTTTCATTAACCTTTGCGCGTGGTCGTTGTCACTTTCCAGTTTGGTCCGTTGTTGTGATGCTGCAACCGTACCACAAACTGCAGGCCTCCGGTGAGATCACATTCTTTTCCCGTCACTGACTGTCAGAGCAGAAGCGCTCTGTTGCAGGGGTTTGCTCAATGCCTTGCCTTCATTTAGAAATGTTCACAATTTGTTCTAGTATGTTTAAAATTTATCTCCACTCATTTTCTAGAAATTAGTAGTGAACGGAATTGAGACCCTGTATTTGGTTTGCATCAGAACAAACTATTCTATATGTGACTTTATTTTGAATTTTTTTAAATGGCTATTACTGGGCTTGGACAGCACGACTGGGGGCAGCACTAGCATATTTTACAAATATGCTGTTACAATTTTAGTTTTTGTACTTGTAATAGTTAGCTGTAAACAATTCCAGGAAATCTCGGAACATCTTTCAAACAAAACCCTTAGAAAGAAATTTCTTTTGAAATTGCTTTTATTTATTTTTTTTTAAAGGTTAGAATTGAGGCAGATTGCATTGGATTGTTGAACTACTTTAATCCAAAAAGAATTTTTAAAATTCTCTATTTGCCAAATTTTGAATGTTTTAATTTCATTTCCAGTTGGAACAGGTTTTCAGGCATTTCTGAATGCTCAGTGAATGAGATGAGGTTTTTGCTCAGTCCCGTTGAATACTTGCAAGAAATGACTTTGTAGCGATTTATGAAAGAAAGATAATCGTGACAGGGCAAAATGGAAATTGTATTTCCGTTCTGATGGACAAGTGTAGATTTCAGCCTTCTCCAGTGGGTAAAACATAGCAGAGGTCACCTGGTGCATATGGCTTGACCACCATGCCGTTCCAAGGAGAGGCCAACAGCCAGGAACAGCAAGGCTAGTTGCAATAAAAGAAGCAGCAAAATTGGTGTTTTCTAATGCCAGCTGTGATGACCTTAGTAAGAGTTGCTTCAATATAGGACGACTCCTACAATTATTCTTTCATTTCCCACTTTTTATTCTACAATGAATGATTATTCTTTACAATACAAAAGTTACTCTTTAGATAGCTCTAGTAGATGTACCTCATCTGCTTTGTCATTTGTATGAATTTAATTTTACTTAACTCTGTATCTTATAATCTGATTTTTAGAAGTATTTTCTCTTACACAGAGGCTCAATGATAAAACTGGACCAGTTGCGTCAGAGAAGAGTTGACATTTGAGCGGTACTTGAGAACTGCATGTCCTGCTGTTATAGCACTTCATTTGGCTGCAAACTGCAGTTTTCCCTTCTGCAGATTGAAGAAATGCAACAAGGAACTCTTACTGCACAGCAAAAGGTTAATAATTTTCGTAAGGATATTTTTGGTAGGCTTTCATTTGCTTTCTTGTTGCACTAAAATGGATGTACTTTTTAACGTTTCAGACTGTGAAGTAGATAAAACTCTGCAAACCATAATTATTTTGTCAATATGATGGTACTAAGTACGAATTCAACTGCAGAAAAACGTATACTTGACTCTTCAGTCCTGATGATCTTACAAATTTAAAGGCTAGTAAACTGTCTGCAGTCATGCATTATTTTGGTTTCAGAGCAGTCGTTTTAAAAACCCAACCAACCCCAACCCTAGCCAGTCTGACCTTCTGCTGCAGTTGCAATATATCCTTTCAGACGAAGCTTGTAATGGCAGCCTGGACTTGCTGTTTGTCGTTTCTTTTTTACACACCTATTTTTGCAACCTGACTCATAAGGGAATCCACTTCTGAACTTTTTATTCCTTTAAATTCCTGTTGTTATATAGTGGGAGTTTTTTCTGAGTAAGAATTACAGTATGGAATCCAAAGTTTATTAATTTTGGTGTAGGTTTTAAGAGTTCTGAGGTTTTTAAAGGAACCGGTTTGGTTCCAGGACAAAGTTTTCTTACCAGATGAGAAGGCCACACTGGAAGAAGTACGCGTAGTGTTTGGCCTAAACCAAGTGCCTGTTGCTACCTCCATTTTGCTGAAATGGCTGCAAACAGCTGATCATGCACTAGACGTGTCCTTGTTAGCAGCGGGAATATTCTGTGTTGCACCAGCAGCCTTGTTGTTCTGCCTTTACTAGAGGTGTTTATACCACTGTAGATAGCTCAGGCAGATTGTTACCTGGGTCACTTTTCACTAATAAATTACCAAAAAAGTGAGTTAGTATTTCCCACTAAAATTTACCAGTGGTTGAAACGGGTGAACTTGTGTTACAACACTTGCGGCAGTAGCTGAATTCATGGCGTGAGTCTATGCAGTATGGCGAAGGGTAGTTTAGATGGGGGCAATGACCACTAATCAATATTAAGGTGGGAATTATTAGAGGAAAAGACCCAGCTGTAATTAGACCTCCACTGTGTACTTATTTGGAAGAACATGTTAATTCTGCAATATGTTTCTTAGTTAAACATTGCACAGTTCTTACCTCATTTCTGTAAATAAAGTTTTGTGAATCTGTTTTGTATTGTGAAGAATTCATAAGAAAACATTGATATTTTGATTTGTAATATTTCTAATTAGTAGATTTAATTGAAAAAGTAAAAATAATTTATTTTTATATGTTCCGGGGAATTTTTTAAAAATGTCACAAATCACTTTTGTAGATACTTTACAAAAGTAAACCAGTGGTTTATTTTACTTACTCAGCCCACTGGTGGATATTCTGTAACAATTTGTACAAAAGGTAAGATGGAAATGTGCTGTTATTTTGACTAGATGTAAAATTCCAAGTGTATGAAAAAAAATATGTGCAAAGCTTTTGTTAATAAACTTTAATAATGTTTATAGTTGTATACTGCTTGTGTGAATGTAAGTGTCATAGAAGAATGGAATGTTTCTATTAACATCACAGGACAGGAAGGATTTCAATTGCGTATGGCCACTAAAATTTATAACAACAAATTTTTTTAAAGTGTTTCTCATGTAAATTTTTGCTTTCAAGAGACACTGATGCTAAAGGGGCATTTTTGCTTACTGGACGTAAGTGGCCACTTGCAGCCCTGTGCCACAGTCTGATGTCAGAGTTTTTTGCTTTCATCCTTCAAAGAGCAATTACTGTGAAATTGCAGGAGGAGGAGGGAGCTGTCGCTCTAATGGCCCCAGTTCATTTTGAAAGAACACGGTGAGCGCGCTGCGGAGCTGGGACAGGTCCTTTATCTGCGCAGCGCCTGTGTTAAGGTGATGGAGGCCTTTGGTTGTTGCTGTAATTTTTATATTGTATTTTCTGCAAAACCAGCTCAAATGGTTTTTTCAGAAATTTTGCTTATTGTCCATGGAGTGGTTGGTGTGAACACACAGCTGAACTCCTGGTCTTTTATTTCCCAGGCAGCAAGGAGGAGCTTGACCCTTCCCGTACTGTCACTTGAAGATAAAGTGTGAGGCTTGTGGTAGCGCAGGTTTGGGCAGACAAGGGCTGCCTTACCGCTCCCTCACGCTCTTTAGCCCCTTGCTGGGCAGGTGCAGCCTCCAGCTGAGGCTGCCTTTTGGAACAAGCAGCAGGAAGATGGTGTTGCCATAGGCCTGTGCCATTTGTATATTGTTCCATCCGCTCAAGGCCTGAGGTTTGAATACTTGGTGGTTTACTTTTACCGGAGTCCTGAAAGACGACAGGTAAATGAGCAAGCTCAGAACTACCAGTAGGGGAAGGTGAACCGTCATCTGGCACAGCTAGGGCATCACTGCCCCCCACCCTCCCACCTGCTGA